GCTATTTGATAGCGCATGTGCTCCTCCAAAGCCTTTGTTAGTCCATGCTAGGGGGCCTTTAACATGGACTGAATGTTGGCCGTCATCATAGAGTGATTTGTCATCCTCCATCCTCATTTTCATCACTGCGGACTTCACATCACTCAGTTAAGTTACGGTACCTCTCCTATCTATCTACTGGTTCAGTTTTAGAAGTCTCCTCTAGTTCATCTCATGGATCTTCTTGCTGACTGAAAATAAAGCGGAAGATGAAAGCCTTCTTCATGTAGTACATACAAAAAAGAGCCGTTTATTTTGAAAATACACCGTCAACGCATAAGTACACCGTTGTCCACCTTTTTATTACAATAAAAGAGTTAGATTTTGGAAAGGACTAAAATTTGGTTCGCTTCGCTTTGGTCTATCCCGCGTGTGTTGGCGCTGAAAGAATTTACAAAGCCAAAATTGGCTTACTGCCCTGTTCCTAACTAGGCCGCCATATTTTTCGGAGGCAGGAGGGTTGCCACACCACCGGTTAGATTTGGCGACGCTGAGCCGCCTGCAGCATAGAGTTCGCTGGTGTCCATCTGAATGCTAGACATGATCAAATAAGAAACCGTATTGCTTCAAGTGCAACTTTTCTGCCTCCAATTTCATTTGAACATTTTCCAAAAAAACTTACGAATGATTTTCCACATCGATCTCCTCTTCGCACATCACAGCTGAAGGTGATGTGGCAATGTTATTTGTTCCTGTGGTCACATTGATGGAATTATTAGCTGAGGGATTGACAAGAGGCATCATCATCACCGGTGTGGAAGCCGAGCTGCGAGCTGAAGGAACGCACTCGTTGAATGGCGCAGTGGTCGAAGCCGTGCCTACACCAAGCGATGCTGGTGCTGGTGCTGGTGGCTGCGGATGTAGAAGGTTATGAAATTGCTGGTTTTCGACTGCTGAAAGACGTCGATTGCGAGCTGCTATTGATGCTGATGATGCGACCGAGGAGGAGGAGAGGGGAGAAGTACTAGACGTGGATTTTAAACGACTGGCGTAATTGCGACCCAAAACACGACCACCACTACAAGGAGATATAAATATCGCAAAAGCTTGTGTGAAGGTAACCGGTTCCCATGACTGCAAAAAACCGTAACAATTATAAGAGTGAATAGATGAAGAGATTCCAGATGAATAGGCTTTGCTTACAAGGGTGGCTTGCCATCTTTGCGCTGAAGACATTCATGCTCGTCAAAGACCCACACTGATCCACCCGCAGTTTCAACACG